ACAATGTATTTTCTTGAATTATAGTACTCTACTCAGAAAGAATTGACAAATACTATTATCTGCACTTACATTAATTAACCTAAATATTGTACATTCTGTATGTGTATCTAGTCTTTTTCTTTACCTGTATATATTAGTATAGGTATAGGGTTATGGAAATACTGTACCGGTATCTTCACTGGACATGTTAAAATAGCCTTCAAACTATAGTATTTCTATGGCCTTAATTTTATGGTACATGTACCTTCATGCTTGTCTGAATACAAACTTCGAATACTGGTATAACTAAATTGTGTGATTCATATTGGTATGGTCAAATGATATATAAAAATACATACCTCTAAGTTGCATCATGTGATAGCATTCTTTTGATTTTCAATCGTTTTGAAACCCTGAAAAAGTAATCAATTTATCAAGAGTAAGTAGTAGTAATATCCAGTATCTGATTATGAAGAGTTAATTTCACAAATCAAATTTTCCCTTGTCAATCATTTGTCTATAATAATCATCAATAAACTTAATAGACCCGTGTTGATTAAGTGAAATTAGCATTAGCATATCAAAAAATTGCATTTGACTCTTGTTGGAAATGTGTCTAAAGAGGTATTGGGAAAGAATGATAAATAATATTAAAATAACCTGTATATACATTTAGGCCACAAGGACTTAATTTTATGGATGACATCCATGCGCTCATTGATTTTCGCCTGTTCTCAAAAAAAAGATCATGCCCTCCGAGGCTCTGGCCTGGCTCTAGGCCTGGGTACTCCATGTGGTAGTTAGTTAGTCCATGGTACTAGTAGTTAGCAGAGACTGTATTAACTCTGGAGCTCGAGGATCAAGAACTCAGAACATACGTACAGTAAATTCCGCAAAAAGCCAGCATGTGCTTGTCGTAAACGTCCGCAAATCCACAATACCAGCTTTGTATTCCTGTGGTTTAGAAGCATTTTTATTTTTGGCCAGACTCTTCGCCCATGCTCACTAGTTCGGTGGTCTTCAGAGGATGTCATCCATAAAATTAAGTCAGTGTGGCCCCAGTATTTACAATTCTATACAAATTTGTTGAAATACATGTGAAATGTTCCAAATCCTAACTGTACATATAAATTCCATACATATAATCCCTGCATACTATCATCATAAAGGAAACATTTGTACTGTATATGAATCTGTCTTCAGACTCAGAGTTGGACAATAATTGATACTTGTCAAGGTATAATAATAAAGTTACAATACTGTAACAAATACGTAACATAGCCACAACAACACAACCATATCATCATGTCATTCAACATTTCAAAAATTCTTATTATTTTCAGCAACATATGTACAATCGGGATAGGAAGAACAAGAGTCCCAAAACAACGCCGCCATCTTTGTTGTCAAACGATCCAGTAAAAAAAAAATCGTCCCAAACTGAACAAAACTTTCTGAAGTCAAACGTGATGGAACAACTAGTCACTGGCTCAGAATATGGCGATCTAATCCTACTGCAACCATTTCTAAACGTTTAAATCATCTACTTACAAAGAAAAGTCAATAAATTTGGCAGCAAAGTCAGCAAAACATGCCGAGAGTGTTTGCGTTTGGCAGTTGACCGTGTCCGTCAGACAATTGTTCTTTCTTCCCGGCCCTCAAGCAACCGAAAAGGCAAAACGTGACGGCCAGGTGGTCCCGCTAAAACCTAACAACATCCCAAATCTAATCACAACACACAAAATACCGCCATCGTCAATTTAGACAAGTGCAAAACAAATGAATAAACCTCGTTAGTTGTTTACAAACCATCGTCTGCAATTTTGTATCCACCGCCAGATGAACCACTGCGCAGACGTTCTGCGCAGGGACCGACCAATGTTGGAGCGGGGGGTAACCGTTTGTCAGCAGGGAGGGGATGCTCGTCACTGAATGACATCCAGTAAATTTCTAGCGGGGACCAATCAGAGGGCTGCTGAATAATTTGAATAATTTATCAAGGCCCACGGACGCGGTTCTTTCACTTGTAAAGTAGCCAATTACCACCGAGCCGGTGGCACACGATGAGCGAAAACATGTATTTCACACCCATTGTACGTCGACATAAAGCGCTTATACATTACAAAGAGAATTTTCGTAGGACTGCCATTACTTTAGTTTGCAGCATGTGTATTAAGAACGAGTATCTTCATAATTCTGCTGGCAGTTTGTAGAAGAACGGCAAAAAAAACAGTTTTCAATACCAACACGACTTAGCAGATAACACGTAATGAAGACCACTTTTTACGCAGATTGTAGCACTACGTAATGTTAAGGGGGGGTGCCCTAATTCCGACCTACCCCTAATTCCGTACTAGTTTGAAAAATCATTGTCGCCGCGCTATGCATGGGAGCATGTGCCTGAAAATAACCACAAGAATGGACAAAGTTTTTCTGTTGATAACGGTAATCTCACAAAGTTTGGTCCAGTTTGCACGCTCCGATAACAGACGAGTGAAAAATCTGTTTGAATTCGACGCTTGTTCGGGGGTTGACGAGCGTGTTAAAAAACGCAGCTTTGATTTTGAAACAGCCACTTTGGAGCAAGTCGCGTAATGGTGAAAAGATTACTTGTTTGGGACAGAAAAATAGTTGTAGATTGTTTTAGTCATAATTTGTGTATTTTAAATACTAAAGTCTCTCATGAGATTGACCTTCGTTAAACACTAGGTCGGAATTAGGGCACCCCTTTTGCGATAGAACGTTCCACTGGCAAAATGACGAAAAACCTGCCGTACGTTTCGCAAACCATTACGCTTGGGTGCAAGGCGCTACACTGAAGTGAAATACACAGCTGTACAGCTTTAATTGTTGTTATCTTTATCTGTTAATATTAAAGCTCGTGTTGCGCGGGTTTTTGGTGAGACAAACTAATACGAAAGGTAGGTGCGTTTGCATGGAACATAGGTCGGAATTAGGACCCCTTCCCGTTACACAAACTAACAGTAGATGTTTTAAGGAATTCACAGAAATGACAATGATAGATAATGTAACGCATATACATTATACAGCACAAAATAAAGAGTAACAGTAATGTAGTCGTCTTTGGCCGGGTATGGCAAGTTATAGTACGTACATGTATCGGTTCAATATAATCTTTAACGGGTAAGTTGACAGCAACAAGCAAGATGCATAGGTTCTATTACTTTTGTAGCTCACTTGCGTCTAGATTTAGGACGAACCCATGTTACTTTTTCGCCGCAGTTTTTCATGTAGTGGTTACTTCGACAGCCTTTCCGCTGACGCAAACATACTAGTTTGGGGTTCCACAGTTCTTACAACGTTAGCGCTTGAAGTGGTGTTTTCCAAGTTTGTTGGTCTGGTGATGTTGTCTTTGTTGGCTTGTTGTCTGTCATTTCCCTCCATTTTTATGTTTGGCGGC